GTGTGTGTGTGTGTGTGTGTGTGTGTGTGTGTGTGTGTGTGTGTGTGTGAACACTAAAAACCCTTCAGTGAAGCTGCTACATTTTTGAAAAGCAGCTTGGAGTCTGGAAAGCTTCTTAGAGTTTGATTTTGAAGATGGTTAAGTTGCTGCTGGAGACAACAACGATGATGAAACTGAAGCCAAACGAGTACATTTTTAATTAGAGATGACTGGTTTAAAAGATTTATTGAACATTTTTTTATTTAAACTGTTATAATAAATGTGATTTTTTTAAATTCAAAATACCTTTATAAGGTTAAAAACAACAAGGACAATAATTATCACCTGCTTCCAGGAGGCAGGTGATAATGTTTTTATCTGTCTGTATGAATGAGTGCTCCCAGATTGCACAAGATCTTTTTTTAAAACTTTGCTATTACCTCTTGGAGTCAAATATGTCCTTATGTTGACAAAATATCTCACGGCCATGGAATAAATTTTAATAAAACTCTGAAAAAAGACATCATTGTTGTTTACAACAACTAAGTAACTTTTGAAGCCAACCTAATTCAAGATAACCACAGTTCTTTACAAAATAAAATAATCTTTATTCATTCCGTTTTACAGATATTGAGCTCAAAATTAACGGAAATATCAAACATGTCCAGAAAGACAAACATTTCTGCTCCCGTTCATATTGACAAACACACGTAATTAATATTGAAATCTTGTTTTTTTGGGTGTTGTCAGTTTGTTATTCTTGGTTAATTTTACTGCTCTACCAAGGAAAAAAAAGGTTTAAATTTTATTTTATTCTGCTCTTTTTTTTCTTGCAGATTTACTCAGAGTCATGCGCTCTCTGGTCACTACTGTTGCTTTAGAAAATGTTATAATTTGCATATAATTTGATTTGCACAAAGCAGGAGGATTTCTCTCTGCTTCTCCTAAATATATTAGACAGGAAGTGTCTGTTTTTCACAGCTGGACAGTTTGCTGACCATCACTGACTTCTATAAATAATTCATGCTGCCACGGCTTCTAGGACTTATCTATTTGAGGCATCTATTTGTTGACAGTCAGAGTATAGTTTGAGTTATATGTGCTTTGAAATTTAAGCAGTGACAAACGTTTGCCGGCCTTGGTCAGTTTAGTAAACGTGCTCCGTGTGACGTAAAGTTAAAGATCCTCAACACTTTCCCAAAGCTCAACTAAACGACTCTGATCAAAATCCTCAGATGCTGTGATGAAAAAAAAAAGTTTGAAGCGTAAAATGCTGGATTAGATTGTTGCCATTTGATGTCAGCCTGGTTTGAACCACTTCAAAGCACTGAAAGTTTCATGTCATCGCTGTAGCTTATTTGTGATTAAAGATCATTGGTTGGTGGAAGACTTTATGATCGTGTGTAAATACTTCACACTTCTCCGTCTGCTCTATAAAACATAGCCAGCAGGTGTGTTAGATGCCAAGTGTGATGTTCAGGAAAGGCAACCTGAGCACTTTTACTGTTCTGATAAATGACAGCTGGCAAGTTATTGCAGTTGTGTTGTCATGGTCAGATTGATTTATTTTTTAAAGGAACTAATTCCCATGAAGGATTGAACATCACCCACTGCCTTTAATTACAGAATTTTAAGCTTAAGGTCTGGTTATGCTCAATAAGATCTTAGACAACAGATCTTGCTGACGTGATGGTGAGACCATTGATCTGTATTACTGGCTTGGACATTGCCTATAGCCGCAATAGCTAGCGACGTGCCGTCATAGGAGCCATTGCTATGCATTGAGTCATCTCAACAAAACAGTAGAGTTTCAATGTGGGATGAGCGTCAATCTGTCACAAAAATATTCATAGCACCCTCATTTCTTATCCGATTTCTATAAAATATGGCTTAAATTAAAGCTGAGAAAATTGCCGATGTGATTTGTAAAAAATATATATTTGCTCAAGAGATAAATCTATAAGCAGTCTGGGAACTTTTCATTATAGGTTTTTGCTAACGTATTTACAAAAGAAGCCCCTTTCCGTCACATAAAACTAAGAGTTGTGTGTGTATATATATATATATTTTTTTTTTTTTTCGGTCATCTCAGTTCTAAACTTGATATTAATGTTTCCAGCACAGAATAAAATCCTTCCTCCTAACTCTGTCACCTGCATGACTTCCTTCCTGTGATGAATGACCTTGAGGTGTTCAGGATCACTCTTCTCACACTCAGGCACTCAATGTTTATGTTCTCATGACACAGAGAGCATTTTTTTTCTCTTTAGATTTTCATATAGGACATATGATGAAGCAATATGTTTCTGTCTGCTGTCCTCACAGATAGGGTTGGAATAATCAGCTAATATCTTATTAGCTGAAGTCTCAAATTCATATTTTATCTTCTTGCTGAACTTTAACGATGTTGCCTTTCCTAGATTTCCTTTCAGTATTCAAATATTAGGGAACATTTCTTCTAATATTCTCAGCATCCATGACCTTGACTCCTCCTTGTCTTATTTTTTTCCTTCACGTTTTTTTTTTTTTGATACGGCTCGGTGTCTGTCATCTAAAGGGAATGCTGCCGTGGGATTGGTTTCCATGGAAACACGTTTCACACAGTGTCTGAGCTGCTTTTTTGCTTTCCAGGCTGCATTTTTTTAAAGTGACACTGAATCTGCAGAACACTGTGATCATGCATACTAAGCATCTGTAAAGCAGATAATATTGGACGTTGTGTCTGTCTGTCTGTGAGAGCTAACAATGTGAATGAGAAGATGTTTTTTTAATGTAAACATGAGTCACATCTGTTGACCGCAGAGAGGTGATAATTGAAGATGTTGTGTATATTTGTTGCTAAAGACAGCAGGATGTCGAGGCAAATCAAAACGTTCACTAGAAACTGTAATCTGTTCCATCTGAACAGCCCAGAGCTGCAGTCTAACCCACCTGAAGGTCATGGTTAAAATTTCTGCTGCATCTCAGTTTTTTTTTTAATATTTTCTTGTCTTCAGGGAGCTTTCGGAGCACTGCAGAAGATCTGTGAAGACTCCGCAGAGATCCTGGACAGTGACTTGCTGGATCGTCCTCTTAACATCATGATCCCCAAATTCCTGCAGTTTTTCAAGCACAGCAGTCCTAAAATCAGGTATCACCATTCTTCTGTTTTTAAATGTAAATTAAAGTTTTATTTATATAGCGCCTTTCACAGAAATAAATTCACAAGGTGCTGTACATTCAGGGAAGGGGGGAGGGGGCAGTTAAGAAACACCCATTCAAGAAGACATACAAGACAAACATGGGGGAACAGGTGAAACCGGTCATGCAGCAAACACAATTGCGCTACCTTTAAATGTATATTATTACATTTAAAATATTTTTTATACAGCGGGTAAAATAAGTATTGAACACGTCACCATTTTTCTCAGTAAATATATTACTAGAGGTGCTAATG